ACGGTATTTCAATTTTGTAATACGCCATTATATAATAGTTCAAAAATAAAATTTGAATCTGAAAGAAACACTTTGTACGTTTATTTATTTATTTTTTTTCTATTGTCTGGTATAAATCGTATAATGGTAGCTGATGTTGACTCTGGAAGCAACTGATGTTAAAGGGACGTGGAATAAAATAACACAGTAAAAATAAATTTGACTGGAGACTACTTTGTGTTAAATTGATGAGGTATTCCGAGGTTGGAGCGCAGACGTAGGGGAGAATGACGTCATAGGATGTCGCCTCTCCCCTATGGCTGCGCCAGCACAACATAACATACGCTGCGAGGTGTGACAATGCAAGAGTTCCTTCAGATACGATGGGCCAAGATCATAGATATCTTATCTACACTAGATAGCGCATCTCTTTTAGTAAAAGTGAAGCCAAGAATATTCCAGCGGTTACCCCCATTTGAATAGATGGCGGCCATGTTGGAGTTTCCCACTCGCTAATAAACGCTTAAAAAACAACAATAACTTTCATCATTTGAATAGTTTGAAAATGTATTTGGAATAGGTTTAACTTAATGTTTAAGTTCCCTGTTTAACAAATAGAAAACAAACGAGCTTCTCATTCCATGGGAATATCCTGAGTCTGCAATCATGGCTTCAATTTTTGAATTGCAGAATAATTAGATGCACTATCTAGTGTATATAAGATATCTATGGGCAAGATAGTTAACAGCTTTGTAGGCAAGGAGAATAATTTTGAATTGGATACGAAATTGGAAGTAATATTGTGCCGATTTCCTAGTGTTGGTTAGCAAGTGAGCTGCGGTGTTTTGGACTGTCTGGAGCTTCTGAAGCACACATTTAGGAACACCATATAGACCAACGGTTTTCAACTGGTTTTCTCATGTGTCGCCGATTTCACATGATTGAATTACCACGTCCCCTGAACAGAAATTGCCCACTGAAGTCTATCAAAAACACGAATTTCGAAATAGTTAGTAAAATAGTAAATGATTTAAATTTTAAATAATAGAGTAGAAAGTCAAGCAAACATGTTTATAGTACAAACTATTGTATTCAACTATATTGTATTCAACTATTGTTTTCTCAGTCCTAGACCAGTTTGTGTCCCCTAGGAATTTGCCAAATGTCCCCTCTTGGGGACATGTCCCCCAAGTTGAAAACCCATGATATAGACCATATAGGAAGTTATTAGAGGACACCCTTTTTTGGCGTTTTGCGAAAAATCGCTATACTGCGCGGCTATATCAGTCTGATTTTCATCAATTTTCACCAAATGTTCGCCAGTGAATGCAAAATATATGATAAAGTTGTAAAATTGGCAAACAATAAAATAATGTAAGAATTATTAGGGAATATCTTAGATCGCGGTACCTTTTCGCTTTTTAGTTGTTAATTCCTGCTGGTTTTAAGATATATTTATGAAAATATCATTTTTATACAGTAAAATAGTTGTTCTAAAAAACTGTGTTGGGAAATTTTTGTTTATTTCCTGATGTGATAGTAGGCTAACTTACATATACTAATATGTTCCTCCATTTTGATACACTCATCTAAAATCACCCCCAGGTTTCTGGCTGAAACAGTTGGCACGATTCTTTCATCTCCCACTATGATATAATTTACAGGAGGCATCAGATGAATGCACGCATTATTTTCTACTTCGACTACTTGGCAGCCTATATATGGACACTTTAATCTCGTTTCGTTGGACAAAGTCCGCATAACTGAACATACCGCAACATTAATTGACAATATATTCACTAATGATCTAGAACAAATTGAATCCAGTAAGAATGGATTAGTTTTTAGTGATATATCAGATCATCTTCCAGTTTTTCATATTGCATCTTTCCCTGAATCATACAAGAATTTTCTATTGGAATTAAAAACAGACTCTATAAAAAGTGTCTAAAAAACCCAAGTGAAAAGAACAAAACTATTTACAAAAATTACAAAAATAAATTAAAACATTTAATTAAAATTAGTAAAAAAGATTACTTTGAAAATCAATTTATTAAATACAAAAACAATAGCAAAATGACATGGCAAACAATAAATAAACCGGCTGAATAAAAATAAAAAGAAGGAAAAACTTTCTCACGTGTTTCAACAAAAGAACTCAGATATTAATTTTTCTGACCCAACCGTAATTGCTAACAAATTTAATGAATATTTTGTAAATGTTGGTCCAAATTTGGCAAAAGGTATTCGAAAAAAGGATACAATATCATTTGAAAAATATCTCAAAGGAAACTATAGAGAGAGTACGTTTGCTGAGCCTGTTACTGAACTTGAAATACTGACTGAGAGTTTGAAAATTACAGACCAATTTCAGTTCTCACATGTTTTTCAAAACTACTTGAAAAAATAATGCATAAAAGACTAATTTCATATATTGAAAAACATATACAATTGGTATTTTCCTTGATCTATCTAAGGCTTTTGATACAGTTAACCACGATATTCTCCTAAAAAAACTTGAACATTATGGCATAAGAGGAAATTGCCTAAAATGGTTTGAAAGCTACCTACATGGAAGAATGCAAATTGTTAAATTTGGTCATCATAAATCAAACAAATTGATTATATCTACAGGAGTTCCGCAAGGCTCTATTCTTGGGCCTTTTAAATCAAGAAATAAAAAATGCGACATTGAAATCGATATTAAACTTAATGATAACATTATACAACAGGCTTCTCATATCAAATTTTTAGGTGTAATTTTAGATTGTGAATTAACATGGAAAAACCATATAAATTCGGTTGCTAAACATATAATTAAATCTGCGGCACTTATAGCAAAACTACGACATTACACAAATAAAAATACACTTAAGTTGATTTATTATGCATTGGTTTATCCATATCTTACTATGGGAATCTAGTATGGGGTAATACGTACCCAACAAGGCTACAGAAAATACAGAATATACAGAAAAAAATTATCAGATTGATAAGTTTTAAATCGTATCTTGAACACACTGAGCCATTGTTTCAGAAATTGTAAAAATATTATAGAACTAGGGACCTTTGAACAAAAAGCCTGAAAGGGTTTCATGAAGGCTCCTAGCCCGTCATATTTTATTGTATACTTTAGATTGTAAATATTAACTTTTTCATATGGGCAAATAAAATTCAATTCAATTCAATATCAAACTTTCGCAATACAAAAAGTAGTTTCGAATTTCAGGGCTTCATATTTCACACTAATTGCTCCAAAATAAGGCAAAATTTTGCACTTTTCTCGCTCTTGTTTCTTCAAAGAAAATTTATACCTTCAGTAGAAGCACTTCACGACTCGCAACGTCGTACCGCTTTATCCAATTAGGCGCGAGATTTAAATTTAAAATTTACCGTTTGTGAACCTTGTTTACCTTGCGCCAAGACACATCGTAAATTTTGTTTGGAGGCCGTGGTTTGAAGTGAAATTTCTGCAACTCTTTGCAACTTTCAAATTTTGAAAGGACTACATTGTTGGAAAGCAAAATAGTTGTTTTATCAGCTGTTGTAGAATTTTCGGCTGAGCTTTCCGTATTGTTGAGTTAGACGGGTTTGTTTATGATGATACATGCAGCTTGGCCAATGGATGTTGCCAACCTTGTCTCCTTTCAATTCCCCTCCTCCGCCGCGTCGCCATGAATGTCAGTTGATTTTAAAGCTGGATTTCAAGTGCTTCTACTAAAGGTATAAACTATTTATTTTTTCTGATGCATGCTATGTACCTAAAGCCCGCCGCACACGAGAGCAACTTGCTGAGCTAACGGCCTCGCGAGGCAGTTAGCTCAGCAAGTTGCTCTCGTGTGCGGATAGTTTTCATGAGGATTTGACCTCTCGAGGCCTTGAGGAAAATATCTATCGTGTTTGATATTTTTCGCCTCGAGAGGAAGAAATCTCAGCGTCTGCGGATGTTGTGAGCTAAGTGCTGAGCTGTTTGAATCAATTAGCCAATGACAAACCATGGTTTCTTCATGTGACTTGGAACAGAATGGAAGGTGGGGTTAGGGGTTAGGGGTTGGAAGGTGGGGTTAGGGTTAGGGGTTAGGATTAGGGTTAGGGTTTGAGTTAGGATTAGCGTTTGGATTAATTGTAAATCCATTGTAACCAATACTTTATTGCATACAATGGCATTACAACGCCAATAAATTATTGGTTACAACGTGCCATTTTAGTGTAAAAATTCAGAATATTTTTTAGCTAATCGTTAACATTATTATTTTGAAATCGATACCGCAGGGGGTAATTAAGTATGCCAAGCATTTAAATTTAAATCGCACAGTGTGTCTGGGCTACCTATGTTTACACTAAGCGCGCGTCATCGGCTCAGGTGAACAGGCTCTAGAGCCCATTTGCGCATGCATATGGCGCTGGACGCCGCCAAAATCAAACTCTTCGTAAATTTTGCTGCATTTTGGTGTAAAGTATGGTGTACTTTTTGGCGAAATAAGTCCGTCAAAATGCGTGTGAAGCTAGGTTATATTTTGCGGTTAGTATCCTCGATAGCTACTACGCTAGATGAAGCAGTAAGACCGAATACTGGAGAAGTATCTTCGACTGAAGCTCTCAGCTCTGCCTTCGTTCGTACATCGTATAAGCAAGTAAGAATATATTCATTATTTTACAATAAAAGTTGTATTGCGGAATTGCGGCAGATTTTAGTATTTTTTTCTGGTATTCATAGCATAGTCGAAAAATACATATAATTTATGTGGTATACTAGTTCTAACACAAGTAAGTGTTCTTCCTCTGATTTCCTCGCTGATTTCTATAAATACAGACAAGTAGGTTGAAAATACGAGACGAAGACGAGCTTTTTTAACCAGCTTGTATGTATTTAGAATCAGAGGAAGAACACTTAATTACTTGTGTTAGAAGTGGGGGGAAGATTTCAAAAAAAATTCCGCAACCCAAGGAGAAAGAAAAAAATCATGCAGCAACAATCGAGAAAAAAAATATCATGCAAAAGAGAGCGCTCAAAAAAAATTTTCTACATGTAACTCTACTGATGCTCTTCACTTCAGTATTGTGTCCACGGCTTGCAAGATTTTGATTTTTGAGCAGGCACATTTGCTTAAAAGAACACGGGGTGAACAGTGGATAAAATCACAGGGATTCTACCGCCTTTGGAGCCTCTGACATGCGATAGCCAGTGGTGTTCCCTGGCAAAATTGTTGCCCCCCCTGAGAAAATCTGGGCTTAAGATAATTATGTACAAGTTTATAAGTTATTTATACATATCTAATATGGATAGCAGAAAAAGTATTTTTGGATGGTTGAGTCTGTGTGCGTTTTTTGATAACATAGCTCCAAACTATTAAAGCTTCAAAGGCCCATCTACAGGATGCAAGTTGAACGTACTGTATATACGATGATTTTAATGCGAAAATGCCAGTGTTGTCGTGGACGAATCCATGGCTGAAAACGCAGGAAATAGCATTTCCGAGGTTCAAATTTTAAAATTTTCTCGGGGGAGCATGCCTCCGAACCCCCAAGGTTACAGGTCATTCATATACTGTACCCTCCCCCCATTTTCGAGTACTCTACTCTATCCCTGCATGTTTTAGGTTTTGGTGCAGTTATATATTCTTTGTAAGTAAACTTGCACGCTTTAGTGTGGGGAACATTGAGACATAACCATATAAAATAAAGCACAGTGAAAATTCCTTGGCCCCTCTTGCAAGGGATTCAGTTCTCGGCCTCCTCTGACTGAAAACCCCTGCTACGTCTCTGATGATAGCTATATGAAAGCCTTAAGTTACTGTAAGCCGTTATTATGAGAGGCAAAAAAAATATCCTGCCGCCAAATATATTGGGAAAAAATATCTTGCGCTGCACTTTTACAGGAAAAAATATCTGTCTTGTTCGCCTGGGCGGAAAAAATTCTTGCACAGACTGAATCTTCCACCTCCCCCCCCCCCTCAAAAGTCAAATGATCCGCCCCCTTAATTGACTGCTCACTCTTGCGAGCATAAGAACGTCATGGAACTGGCGGTGACTCGTAACATTTTAACCCGAAAATAGTAAGAGGGCTACATATAGTATTCGACTTGAGAATGGCAATGCAATTCGTGCTTATTATCAATGTATAGTTTATAAAGTGAATAGTCCTAAAATTAAATAAATTAAGCAAATGTGGAGTGTTTTTTATGCAAATATGATGCATTGTTGGTTTATATTGGAACTGGAACTGGGAGTCACTTATTCATTATCAAATTTTTACTAAAAATCATATCGACTTGAGAATGACAGTGGTCAATTGAAGAAATTGAATAAATTATGCAAGTATATATGGAATGTATCGTCTGAAAATATAATAACTTACAGTGTAGCAACAGTTGCAACTGTTTGTCGATTTGCAGACATGCATACATGACTTCGGCTTAGCCTAGGTCAACAAGATGAGTATTACACGTGCATCTTTGACTTAGCACGATTCCCACGAGTACTCAAATTTCAAGCTTTCGTGAAAATTTCTAATATAGCTTCTGTTTCAGCGCAGGTCTCTGCAGCAGCAGAACCGACAGCAGCCAAATTAATATAGGCCTATCGAATTTACCAATTAGAGGTTAACATAAATTATCGTGTAAGCCACAAGGTAATAATGTTATTATGTCGTGTAGTTTAATTAATTAAAGCTATGTATATGACAATATAATTCCCAAATCAATCTTAACGCATGCGATTTTACCCTTCTAATCCGCTACACTATCCAATTTGAAAGGTCTTTGATTATATACAACCCCATGTGTGCAACGCCATAGCGTTAACTTATGATTATGTACTAGACTTTAAAAAGCGCGTCTTCTAAAACATCTTGGTTTGTTTATACAGCATTTACAGCAAGAAATGTTCGTCTCTGATTGGTGCGATGGTTTGATTGACAGTCTCGATTCCATGCCTTTATATATTGAGAACAATGTTACACACGTATTCTTGACGCAGGTCGAAAAGGTGTTAGCAATTTAATTATTTTATTGTTTACTTTTCCCGATGACCCCAAGGTGGCCTCAAATTTAAAAGATTTGCTATATAATAGGATTGCACTTTAAATGCATCTATTTCAATATATAGAGGAAATGTGCCTTCGTATGCTGGATATTGATGGATTTCCCGAAGCATTGCTACAGGAGGTGAAATATCCTATAGCATGTTCCCAATAATTTAAAACGAATATTAATAAATAATGTTATACTATTAGCCATCTCAAACGCTATAACCGCAAAATTGCCTTCATTATGAATTTCATTTTCCATTATTCGTGTTGTAATTTGGAAAATGCGATTGGATATCTCGATGGCCACTTCAGAATTGCATTTATCATTACCAAATTTCATGATCATTTTTAAAACCTACTTTTTAAGTATATTTTCTTACTATAGACAAACTAATAAATTACAACAGCCCATATGGATATATTTTATTAATAATAATTGCGTTGGAACCCGTTAAAACTGCCAATAGGCAATAATTATGATAAACAGTATAAACTACAACTCCACGCAGTACTTTAGTTCAATATATATAAGAAAACCGTAAATTGTTACGTGCTTATTTAAAAATTACGTACTACTACGTGCTAGGTATAAAAATTCACTATTTTTAATGCTACGTATGCACATCGTTTTCTACAGGCACTCTAACACATTTTCTAAAATAAGAAAATGAAAGAATCCTAATAACAGTTTCGTCAAATTTTAACCACATCAGGTGAAATGTTAACGCATATTATTTAACCAAATGCCCATAATCATGTGAATTTGATTGGTTAAAATGAAATAAGAGGCGATCATGCATATGAGGCTATGATGCATATGACGATAAGAGGCTATGATACATCTGACGATACACGATGATATCTTGGTATGTCAAAATTAGCCATTTTAATATAATGTGACAATAACTGAGGAAAATTTTTATAAAAATTGTACATGATGCATGCGTAATTCTTATAGATGACCAAACTAAATAGTTTTCATCACTACTTTAAAGCATAGTATATGTTAAATTGCGGGTTCAATAGCTGGATTGGTTATTATGTGGTTATATACTTGCTACAAAGTGTAATGCGCCAGTAACTGTTAAAAGCCTACTATTCTGGTCCATCGGTATTATTTCTATATGCTGTCTCTCTATTTGTGATTTCGTTCAATATTTGCTTGCCATGTCTAATTATATATCTTAAAACCTTAACTATTACGTGTAATTGGAAGTTCAATGCCATTCTCAAGTCAGTGTCGAAAAAATAATTACCTATACTTGACCTAAACTTAATAAGCCTCTTTTTATACTACTTCAAGTTTGAAGTGAACCACGAGCTACTAAAATAGTCCCATATAAATATATATATAGTTTATTTAAAACTCTCCAATGCTTCACCGATAGTCAATGTTTGAGTCACTTCCATGTTCGTTCCATTCGGTTACAGCTAAAATGTTGGTCACGTGAGTGAACAAAACCGTGTTTCCCAACGACGTGAACGTTCCCGCTTAGTTTTACCTGAAAAACACAACATATAGTTAAGTCATGTGGTCTAACAACACAAAATACAAATGAACAAGTAGACAACGGATTTATTTCGGAAAATCATAATTTTATTATTCTATAGCGTGGTAATTCCTCTCTTGTCATAGACAACAGCATCTTAATAACTGAGTACTAAACTTTAGAAGCAGAATAAATAAAACTTTATATTATAGATAGTTATATTATTAAAGAACTCATAGTGATAACTATAAATATAAATTAAAACTGACATCCAACCTTTCCAATAACTTAAGTAACTAATATATCTTAATTGCACAATTGTTTTGTATATTATTGTCATGGTAACAGAACTTTTTGTTTCGATGTACACACTGCAAAACATACAGTTATTATGAATTCAAGTGCAATGCAATTTCACACCACTTTGCCATGGTTGGATTGTAAAGAAATATAAAATGTCCAAATAATATAATTCCAAAATTTATGTTCTTAGTGTTACTGCGTTCTATGGAGAACGTCTTTAATTGGCCTTTCTCGCGCCATGCAACCAGGCCTTGTCCGCCATTTTGGGTGGCAACTCATGAAGAAAAAGAATGATATCAAATGAAGGAATGATTTAGTTGTGCAAGTATTACTTATCAACAATAGTACTGTGCTTTCACTTCACAAATTTCAGTCCTTCCCTTGTTGCCGTCTCTTCTGGCCCGTCCAGTTTGCCACCAAAAATGGCGAAGAGGACTGGTCACATGGCGTGAGAAAGGTAATAAGTCTCAGAAAGTTTAGTCACGAAATTCTAAAATGCTAATTAATAATTTATCATGCAGTTTCTTAATTTATCAAGTTAATAGAATTCGTTAACTGCTAAAACGAATCTCGATTCTCCGGTTGTCACTGTAGAACAATTGTCAATATGCCAATATAACTGGCTAATGACTTGCCGATCCGAAATTTGCAACCTACCTATATTGATCTATAAGACGTTAATTCTCGTTTCAAAATAATTTCACTTTGAGGTTAATCATATCAGTGACCGACAATAACTAGAATAGGAACAGGCCCTGAAAAACAGCAATACCCCGCCTAAATTAAGTAGGGATTAGAAAAATAGATTTATTCACCCAAGTGGAGGTAAATAGTGCAAGATTGCAAGGTGAATAATTGTTCTAGAATATACCACAAAGGAAACAAAAATGACCGAAGAGTAACGACAATATTTTTACTTTAAAAGTTTTTCGCATTACAGCTCCCGTAACTAAACCAGTTGTAAACAAAACAGGATTTGCAAGCTTTTATTACTGTTATATTCAATAGGAATAGTTTTAAAGAATATTACCCAAAACACTGTTAAACCAAACTTTGTGGCTTTTAGTTTATGTTTGGTGAAACCGCAGCTTCTTGTAGGAAAAAAGATTGACAAAACAAGAAGACATTTTGTTTTTGTCTCGAGGTAAATCAAATGCAAGTATATTCAAAACTGAGCAACCAATCAAATTGCGCGAAAAACACTATCCCCCTCCCGTGGGTATATGCTAATATATATCAATAAACCTAAGAATTTTTCACCGAGTCGGCCGAGGTTGCCAATGTGAGTTACCTTTGTTGGGTGATTCTGCTGTTGTAATTTTAACTTCGTTATAAGGATTGTTATTCTTACTTTCTTCTACATCAATACAATGATTTTGTGGAGCACTCTCTTCAGTAACCGTTACCTTGACCAGCATTCTACTCTTACCACCACTGCTTGCCTTTCTGGTGAGGAAGTAGCACGTCTCATCACCTGATTTTGGGTAGGCTTCGGGTAAGACACTCTGGTCTCGAATCTCGAAGGAAAACTCTTTGTGGGACTTCAAATACCTTGAAAAAGAATGCAATTTATACATTGGTAGTATTATGTAGTAAACTAACCTGCGATTAGGCCTTTATTTTTCTCGCAAGCGCGGATTATAATGTTACAATAATAAGTACTGAGGATAATTTTTTATAATATTGAAGTTAAAATTTTCATGTAAATTCCTATGACAGCCCTCCCCTCCCCCCTCCCCCACACACACACCTCAGATGCTTCGCAACGTCCATGGATGATGGATTCGAAGGAGAATTGTGTACTGTTTGATTCTGCTATCAAACGCTATTCCATTTTCTTCTGGATTCTCCAAAATACAATTGAGCCAACAAGAAAATGCCTTATTGGGACTTGTTGGGAGAAGTCGAACAAAAAAGGTTTCTACATTAGAAGAATTGCAACTTACTTGTATGCTGCCGGACTAACATTAATTTTGCCAGCTTCACTTCCTGATTCCATCTTGTTCGCTAAAGTAACGTTATTACCAAATAGACAATACCGTGGCATCTTTACGCCAACAACACCAGATACCACCGATCCAGTATGGATGCCAATGCGCATTTGTAGAGGAACCTTTTCCGGTGAGACGACCTGTGCCGCGGACTCCATCATGGAAAGGGCCATTAATGCTATTCGATAAGCGTGGTCAGTCATACTTGTATCCAACCCACCTGCTACAACATATGCATCACCGATAGTCTCTGTATGGATTTTTTCTCTTCTTTCTCCATACTTTCACTTTTCTAATGGAACTCCCTAATACAATGATGTTGAACGGACTATACCTTGTACAATTCCAGCTCTGTCATTTCGTATCAAACTTGGTGTAGAGAATACTTAACATATTCACAACATCCATGGGTGCACACTTTCCACAGATTGCTGTGAAGCCAACGAGTCACTGAATAACATTGTCACGCTCTCAACCGTTTGGGCGTCAACAGGTTCCTTATGAATCAGCTGCTTAGCAACATCTTTGGGAAAAATCGTTCCAATAGATCCTCGGTCTTCTTTTTCTCGTTTTCAAGTTCTGCAGACGTTTCTTGTACTTTAGCTTTAAGGGACTGAAGTCGTTTCTTCAGGCCGCCTTGCGCTTTTGATTGTTCGCTCACTAAAATCAAATCTCTAGTCGCATCGTGGATTGGAATATCACTAATATACAAACCCTGCTTGCGCAAGTGATCCAGATTTTCCACAACGGGAGAACCAACGTAAAGTATGCACTCCGATTCGGGTATACTAATCATTTGCCCGGTGAGATTAATAACTCGCTTTATTTTCTCGGAAATTGAACTGTTGAGATGAAGCAGAAACGATGAATTGCATTGCGCTTGAATAGAGCGAAAACTCCACTCGATATCCGGCCTAACTAGTGTAAAATAGTCGCTTAAACGTCTGTTGTTGTTTGAAAGGGTTCCGCCGAGAATTCGCACTAGCGCACTTCCCATTTGAACAATTTCAAAATTTCGGTTAAAGATTATATGAAACGGAAAGGCTTTACAAAAGGTTTCCATGCTAATTGGAAGATCTTTGACACTCGTGGATTTATTTCGTTGTGTTTGTCCGTTCTCGCCCTTGGCTTGACCGATAAGCGATGCATCCGAACTTTCTATCTTAAAAGACACACACCCAGTTTCTGGATCGAATTCTTTGAAAACGTTAACGGCTACAGTTACATCGTATATCACTTTGGCGCATTGTCGTAATGCTCCACAAACAAACTTCTCTAAACCTCTTCTCACCGAATAATAATGTACAACGAGGGCACGACCCTCTGAATCTGCAGGTTCGCAGGTAAACGAAGGTGCCTTCATACCATCATATTTCTTCGCCTCTTTGAATACTTGGTGCATGTGATCCAAGTTGTTCAGCAGGCTGTGTAACGAACACCCAAGTGATGTTAACATTTTGTGATGATCGGCGAAGCTCACGTTTACAAATTTTACTCCGAATGCATCCAATAAGTCGTCTATTGATGTATCTAAAACAAACGTTACTTAGAATTTAGCCAAGAAATAGTATTATTTGGGGTCATGCATTATTTGTAAAAAGGGCTAAAATCTTTCCCGAAATCTGACTGGCAAACTCACACTATCTGACGAAAAACTTGACCACGCTGAATTTTGTATACTTAGTATAGCATTTTAATTATTACAAAGATCCAAAATATCCATGCAAGATGAATTACTAAAAACAAAACCATTCTACAATTAGTTCTGTTGAGTGAGATGCCCCAAATTCTGTCAATTGGTAATAACCTAGTTTAACCTTTGGTATTTGTAACTTAAATTTTCTTTTCTTTGATTGTGAGGTCCCTACGTAGTATTATAGGGTTGAAAAATCACTACACGTGCGGCACCTGGCGGCCACATGTAGCATTTTATCGAACCAAGATGGCAATTTTAAGTCTAAAAAGTTTTATGCGAATCCTGTTGAAAGGCTTTCAGGACGAACACGCCCACTTTTTCATCGGGAAATTGTCGTGAATGGAAAACAGGCAAATCTGAAATCTAGATAAACTAGCAGACTGATAGATGCTAGTTTCTATTATGGTAAAATGTCTTTTAACCATTGTGGCGGATTGTGCAATTAAAAGATAAGTGAGAACAAAGATTTCGGCGGCCGTCAAGACATCATGCATGCATGATAAAACTGATACAGCAGACAACCATTACACAACACTAGCGGTCTTCATTGATGCATCAAGATTCTGAGACACTATATAATTTATATAATTATGTCGTGAATATAAATCCAGACCATAGCTTGTATAGTCGATTATTTCAAAACCGCTTTGCATGCATTCAACATATATCATTTTATTTTTTATTTGTGAGGAGCGGGCAACCCGGCCATGATTCCAGGGCTCAACTCAGTCAAATATCGGCGAGTAAAATTTATAGTTGTCTGTCAAAAACCATTTTTCAAGCATGTTCATAATGTAAAACGATCCGGAAAATAAATAATTCCAATTAGTTAACCTTCTGTATAATTGTCTTGTTGAGCAGAAAAGCATATATTGTATTGAAACTATATAGACGCTTTTTATCCAGCTTTTATAATCGCGTCATTTTTTCAGCCATATACTTACTGTAAGTTACACCATAGTTAATATATAGACTTCTATATTAACTATGGTTACACTAAAGTAACAAAGGCAACTGATCTCAAATGTAGCCTACTTCGCAACTGGGATTTTATTGGAATTTCATTATATAAACTATGAATCTTAAAACAAAAAAATAAACACGTTATATATTACCGTTTAGGTCTGTCTGTGCAGAACAAAATTTTCTCTGGGCCCGCAGAAGCGTCCCTCGGTCTTCGTCCTCGGGGCGCTTCTGAGACCTCGAGAAAATATTTTTTCAGACGGACCTCCCAACCGATCAATAACATGTATGTAATACATATAGGATATTAGACGGTTGCGAAGAGATATGGATTTTATGTTCGAGTGGCAAAAACAATATATATCTCACGAGTGAGCGCAGCGAACGAGTGAGATATTGTTTTTGACACGAGAACATAAATCCATATCTTCTCGCAACCATTTAATGTTCTGTTTATTATATGGACTTACTCAGAGTGACAAAAATACACACAAAGACGACATGTAAATAAGCACGCGAAAGACCAGTTAATTAAAAGCGATATTTTTTGAAATTATAGTGCAAACATAAAACTAGAATAAATTTTACTTATCTCAAGATGTCTTTTAAATGTTTTCGTTTTATTTCGAACGTTAATTTCGTTTTAAATACGAACCAAAGACCATTTGAATTTTCAAAACAACAACAATGAAAAAGGCGGGAAATGTTATGTCACCCCTAAGCGTGACATACGGAAAATACGCCACTCAACTCCCGGATGTAGTGGCGTATGATTAATACGAGTGTTTTAGTTCCCAATAAAATACGTTATGTCCAACGTTTCACTACTTGATGTGCTGCAAAAAAGTCAGGGTTTTCCATGTTCCCGTGTTGCCTAGGAAATTTTTCCTTTGTTCTCTTGTCACCCAAAAAGATTTTATCATTTAACACCGGCTTTTTGACTGGACCCGAAGGAAATATGCCAAAGTCGAGGGTCCACAAATTAATATGTTGTTTCCATACCTAATTTTAAGAATTTTTTATCACTGCAAATTTTATCACTGCACATTTTACATTTTATCACTGCACATTTTACTTTTATCACTGCACAAATTGGTTATCACTGCACACTAAAATTAGGTATGGTTGTTTCCCGACAGTCACAGCCAAAAAGTGTGAAGGAAAACAAAAAAAGCTGCCAAAGAAACGGGACCTGCCACAATTTTAGCTTTACAACTCACCAATTTTGTTCTTTTGGTGAATAAAAGTAATGTCCACAGCTGAGAGCTGCGTGTTGCCAGGAGACGTGAAACGTACGACTTTATATTACTCGTGATTCGTACGCTCTCGTCCAATGAGATGCAAGAAAACATGAACTTTGATTTTGGCATATAATACCTTCTTTTATCTCTCCAGCTTACATGTTCCCTTGCTCTCATGATTTTCGATTTTTTTTGTGCAAACTATGCCTTGTTCCCTTGTTCCCTAGAGAACTCTAGATGACCCTCGATAGTTAAATGGGCCAATTCGAAGTTAGCATTAAAATTTGTATTTTTTCATGAAGAATATTAATCAATATCTAACTTGGGTTTACAACGGTAACAAAGGTTTCCATTTCGCCATTCCATGCCAATGTTATAGGTAAAAGAATTTATTTTATGGACAAGAATAATATACGAGAAATGGCATTGATTTAGTTTCATCAACATTTATGCTAATGACCATATTACACATATGGGGAATTTGCATTTATGGTCTATGCTGTTGAATAATTTATATTAAATACAGGTTTGTTTAAAGCCAACAGATGAGAATTCGTTACAAGCCGGCATATTGAAATCTTGCAATTTGGGTACATTGAAGCAAGTCGGGGAAATACCCGAATACACTGTTGGGAAAAGGAACATGAGTTCAGTTACTTCTGTACGAATTGTTCAGTCATGTCTATAATTATAGCTCTATTATATTTCGACAAATTTTTATGCGAAGTCATAACTTTTCCAATTACCGACATAAGCCGAGTTAAATGAAGCAAATATTGCTATTTCAACACTTCTATAATTGTCCCATTGTATACCGGGTCATTTTAATCCTTTGGCTTGGTTTCACCTCCAATGTGTATGTTGCTATGGTAACATGTCGATAATGATGTAATTAATTAAACAGTGTGATATCTTGTCTATCTTCGGCACTCAATATTTATGTACACTGATATAGTTTTCACTGCTATTATTTTTATAGACATAAATCCTAATAGCAACAATAATTATCGGCCTTGTTTGAAGTTTGAAATTAATTCCTTCAGGTTGCTCGCCCACAGAGATCGAGGTAATCGAAATATTGAATGAGATACTCTCTTGCAGTTATAATAACTTTTGAAGGAGTTCTTGCTAAAATACACATGTTTCCATTTATAACAAGTGTCCCACGTTTACCTTGGACAAAAAGAATGTATCTTCAAACATTTTTCGTGCCTTTCACAGTCGACATACAAGTAAAGTAATTATACTGCAATTACTGAGATATCTTTCCTCAAAGCAACCCAAATGTGTTTGTTTGCCTTGCCCACGCACTAATAGCGTTGCACGTTCCCTAAGATTTCATGCTTAATTCCTAGGTGAAATGCCATGGAAATGGAGAAATATGCGGTTAGCTTCTGGTCTGGAACATTCAAAAATTTCAAAATTGCATTCATGATAAAAAATCGAATTCTGATTCCCTAACCGAAATATTCGCAAATATTCGAAATGAATTGTATGTTTTTGAACGTCAAACTTATAGTACAAAACTCTATATTTGTTAGAAAGTGGCGTGTACTAAGATTCAAGTTAATTAATTAAGAAATAAAAACGATATGTTGTCGTATTGATCAGGCAAAGAACAAGCGCAAATAATAATAATTATTATTATTATTATTATTATTTACGAATATTTACAGAGGATAAAACATTTCAGTGTCCAATGCGTATTTTTCTATGAAGGTCACACCGTATACTTAACTAGGTAGGTTGAATAATCCTATATAGCAGGCATTAAAATACGGAATTTTTACAAGGACGCGCTTTGCCTTCAGAGACGTATTTTTGGTACAAATGCGCAGACTCACGAGAACGAGTGGCGAAGTCACAAGTTTAGTGTCAAAGACGCGAGCTTTTAAGGGGGTCTCTGAAATGGCATTTCCAGAGTTCTGAGAACAGAATTTGCAAAATCTTTGGCCATTTTGTGTGGATTACATTAATATATTTTCAGTTTAATATATTTTCAAGTACACACTTTTCAATTTACAAGGGCACATTCGCCTTTTACAAGGACACAAAGTGTGTACAAGGACACGCTATTTTAATGCCTGCTATATAGAATTTTCAACAGTAAGTATTTTGGGTGGAGTTGTTACACGTTCTAGGCGGCATGATAACATAAAAACAGAATACCTGCATGCCCAAGCAGTGCTCTGTCTACTTTTTCTCGTTCATATATGCCTATAAACTTAATGCAGGCAAATTATATTAACACCACAGCTTACCACATGGGTGTAAAGGCGATTTTCCAGTCCTCGCACGAAGCTCCTCGCAGCTCGCTGCGAGTGATGCATGAGCACTTTCATCCAATCACAATGCAAAACAGTTAATTTTATTTAGATGCAAGCACTCGCAGCGAGCTGCGAGGAGCTTCGTGCGAAGACTGGAAAACTGCCCTAAGGGGTACTTTTCCCTTACCACAAATGTCGACCATGCACTGACTTTTAAATTATATTAACTACCATTATAAATACAGAAAGGACTTAATCTACACAATGAGTGACTTATGCCTTGTCAATAAAAATATTAGACTCCTTCCAGGTGCTAGTACAATGGGAAATATCGTTAATATTTTTTTCTGTTTTGTTATAAACAATGCAGTCCACATTCTACTGCCGTTTTCTTGTGTTTTTCCGTATATTCATATTATTTTGTTGACAAATCCGGGCGAGATTCCAGTAGGATCTGGTATATATTGAAACAATTATATTTTTTGGAAATTTAATTTTAGATTTCTTTATGTTTTTGTCGTCTGCGTACATTCCCTCCAGCTCCACCTTGCATCAAAACTATTTTAATTTTATCGGTTTCTCATCGGGTTTTTTTTAATTATAAAGTTTTATCTCAGTTTTTATTTGAGGTTTTCTACCGTTATATTTCCTTTCGTGCATTTACCACCAACAATTTGACAAGATGGCTACATTTTGATGATTCCTAAACGAATTGTTCAATTTTTAGACGTATAACGTGCTGAAAATCGTAAGGCAGTGCACCTCCTTTCCTCACATGTAGCTCAATACTGTTTTAATTACTGAATGACTTCAACGTGTGCATATCATGCATCGATGATTGACAACTGTGTAAAAAATACATTGATTTCGAAGCCGCAACTACGTCCCATCCCATTCAAGTGAATCAAGATACTGTATAGGCTACTTCAGAGTGTCTATATAAGTTTAATTGATTCAGGTATATTGTTTCTCAAAGAAGCACTTTTCACTATACCTCACGTGGATATGACTTAGATTATAACTAAAGTAGTAGCCAAATATACATATGCATCTGGAACTATAAAATCTTCAAGTAGCAATTTTAGATGACTGTAATACATGTCGAACATTACTCCCATCCATCCGGCTATCAGAATTTTTTAAAGTTGTTGGCTTCGCCGTCGATGCTTTGCACAGCCGGAATGGCATTAGTTCAGTAAAAACATCCAGTGCGTCTGGTTTGATATTCCATTGTGTATTTGTGTTGCAGTTGTACTGTACCCCATTTAGGGGATTTTAAGACAGTTGGACTGAAAGAATTGTAATACCCGCAACAGTTTGTTTGTATTTATGAAAGGTTTGTTCAGTGGTCATATTATAGCTTGCAGAGTTTGCCTAAGCATAATAATACGTCAACGGGCATAAGTCGAAGTAATGCGGATTGTTCAGCTTTATTTACGGGTACTGGCTTAGTTTAATTTAACATTTCGTGAGTTAAAAATAACGTTCAAACCTGGCCAAGTACATGCAATGACACCGGCGTAGGGATAGAAAGATTAGTAAAGGTAAAGATTTAGATATGAACTCAGTTTTTCATGTTTAGTTTGCCATGATGTATATCATATCATGCTGTCTCGTCTGAATCGTGCGCATTTTATAGAAATTCACCACAGGCACAGCTAGCTAGGCATGATCAATCATGCAGACAAAACTTCACATGTTACATTCAAATTTCCCGACTTGTCTCTTATATATTGTGCGGCAAATGTTACTTAATTGAGATTGTATATAAAACGCATTTAGCATATACATCTAAACTCAAATCATGTAAGCATGCGGCGTCAGTATACGCGTCATTACCGCTCTTTTATAGTATGTCTAAAAACAAGTTCACCAGCTTGTTGGAGGCATGGCTTGTGAATTTGATTTGTTATCATCTTGTTAAACGCACAAATTTCATTGACTGCCTTAATGGAAAGATCGTAAGAGATAAAAGACAAATTTGCACACTGGACGAGATTAAATGAAGCCGTCTGATCAGTTCAAAATAATGTTCATTAACGAACAGCCGTGGCTTGTGAAATCCAATCTCACAACGTACAGTCTGAATTAAAAACTCAGAGTCTCAGAGCCATCGTGGTGATGACCGCATACTGTGCCCCCACCACGGTCAGTCATTCCCTTGTTAATTGGCTGTTTTAATTGGAAAACCATTTTCGTCTTCGGGTCAAAACCTGCTTACTGTTTTACAGTGTTTACACAAGAAATAGTCAGTCAATGCTAATAAAATATTACTAAGCGACCCACATAAGACATATTCGGCCATAAAAATAGTATTTGACCATTCCGTTTAGCGACACAGGTGTACAATATTTTGTCAAACACCGGTATTGAGCAAAATTTTATCGTACACTCAATGTACATATTCATGACTAAAAGTGATGTGCATCAGTAGCTTGCCAACGGAGTTTTAAGGCCATATTAAGATAAGTATAACTAATATCATAGTTCCTATGAAATGACCGGTCCACAAGGGTAAGCGAGTCCAAGACAGGGACATTCCTTACGGATTGATCTATTTGAGCATGTCTTATAACAGACGTTTCTATGTACATTACAGTGCTGCTCAAATGCTTTACTTCACACCTTTGGCTTTGAACGCCACTCAAGTGAGAAGATCGTTCCTAAGATAGCTAGCTAGTTCATCGTAGCGGAAATTTAATACGTGCTATATGTAGATAGAATTTTTCACAATTCTGTTGCCCTTGTTAATTGTATCCGTACGTTTCGACTCAACAAGCAAACGGACGTCTAAAAGCAAACGTAAACAATCCTCGTCTGACGCTATCAATTTATCATACCTAATATTCGCGATGCGATTTTCACAATTTTCCAAATTATTTCATCTTCGTAGACTTTGCCGTGGTTGTCAGAATCGCAAAACTCTTCCGTGTCGTTATCGGACAGTCCTGCCTCTTCGCTGCAACGAAATATCCCAACGGATCAGAATATATAAAGAATAAACTTTGCTAAAAGAATTGAATACACAAGCCTGTCTAATTACAGCAAAGAGATATTGTATTTTGAAGCGGCACATAGCGTTATCAACGAGCAAAACTATAGGAATCTTCTGTTGTTTCCTACCTTATCTCGTTCCATTTCTGTACGCCATATGTTTCTACGACCAAATCGTAGAGGATCTTGTGTATAAATGCGAGCTAGAAATGACAACATAAAGTTATATATTTTGACAATCAACATGATATGCCGTGAAGTTTACGACAACAAACGTCTTTAGATATGATGATTTACTAACCATGTCGTTTATGATGTCGTAGAATAGATTGAAATCTTCTCTCGTACGTCTGTCATAGTTTCTTCTGCCACTGAATGCACGGAGTCATACGACACGAAATATATCAGATCAGAAGCTCATCGCAGCACTCTGCCACCATCAAATTAAACCATATTAACCCATTTAATATGCGCAAATTCGATTGGGGAACAAGGCAAATGAGTTCCGTGCGGAGTCACTACTCACTTCCGGAAGACATGCTAAACGATGTTTAAAAAATCGGTGACCTTTCCTACCCGCGGCAAGTGATAAGCACGATGCGACAGCTTTACACAGTCCTTCAGCGTATATTCGTCAAACTGGCATGTATTAATTCGCCTTCAGTATATTTTATTCTCGCACACCTGCGGCACACTCTTCATTGCATACGAGATTTCATGATTAATTTAAATATGGCAGCTTAGGTATATACTGCCGCTCAAAGGAACCACAAGCTCGAATTAAATTTTGCCTCATCGAGAACTGGAATGGAAACGCAGTATGCAGTCGTCTCCCGTATAGCAATAAAGCATATCTCATTATAATAGCAGGATTAAAAACATGGCATTGTTTCAGACGCATTCAGCATTGTTTGAAAAGAAATCGTTTACAAATTGCCAAATGCATTCAAAAAGGTCATATACAACATACTGTATAGAGAATGAACTTTTGTCATTCAAATTTCCAGACCTTGTTTGGTTTTTATATTGTAACTTGTCAACGTGCGTTTGTTGACATTCTTTTAAAAGTTTGGGGAGGAATTCTCGTTTGTCTTTTCTTTTCAAGTAGGGTAAACATTGGGAATATTAATCTACCCAGAAAACTAATCAATATAGTACATACATTTTGGGGGTCAATACGTACGAGTCGGTACGACGGACAGGAGGTCAAGTACATATGTGACATTATGTTAAACAGCGGCTGGCAATGCGAGTCATGTAAGACTAAAAGTGCAACCTTTACTATCTGAGTCTCCTCATCCTTGCAGGGATATTAAGAGCTAGATCGGGCTTTCATAAATAATCAGTATACTATTTCCTAACAGGTAGGCTAGGTCTTTACAAATCGTGCATGCATGAAAGATGGAATTCACTAAATTAAAGGTGGAGTTACACGAGCAACAAAATTGCTGCAACTTGCAACAAAATCTGATTTCAACGCATGTTAATTGAAAATGTTTACACATAAATTACAAGTCACAAGGCAACATGTGTCGACATATCTACTTAACATGCGTTGAAATCAAATTTTGTTGCAAGTTGCAGCAATTTTGTTGCTTGTGTATAAGTTCACCTTAACACATGTACAAATTCTATTCCAGCTCAAATGATAAAATGCCTGGGAAAAGCGCATGCAGGGTATCTTAAATACTATGTACATGCACTGTAAGCTCAAATAATAAAATGCCTGCAGGCCGAAAAGCTTGTGAGTTAATGTAATGCCCATGGATGCAGGGTATCATAAATACTATGTACATGCACTGTAAGCTCAAATAATAAAATGCCTGGCCGAAAAGATTTTGAGTTAATGTAATGCCCATGTATGCAGGGTAAATCATAAATACTCACATGCAAGTCACATGCACTGATTGAGTCAGTTTGCTCAAACGTTTCTGACAAATCCTTCAAAATTTAGAATTGCAAAATGCAAACTACCTATGCAAAACACCTATTGCATGCATGTGATCACAGAAGGTTTGATAGTGTAAATCAGGTTTTAGAATCGTTGCGTTGATTCGACTAAGCGCAGTTTACTATATTCAAAGTCGCAAACAAACTGATGAATGATAACAAATCTTCACGTTTGCATGCATGCATGCTTGCATGTAATATAATATAATATATATATATATATATATATATATATATATATATATATATATATATATATATATATATATATATATATATATATATATATATATATATATAAGAAATATAATTCATTGCTGCATGCATATTATACTTCTGAAAATAATTTTATATATTTACTTAGTTTGGGGGTAAATCTGTGGAAAGTTCTTCATTCTTTTATTTTTTAATACAAACTTGCTCTACAACTGGTCGATATTTGCAATAAAAGTAGTATACAGATAAAGTTTTCATATATGCATGCAGACTTCAGGGCAACCCAAGTGTAATAAATTAATTCGTCCTTGCTTTACTCGTATATATGAATATATAATATATTGCCATGCATGTGTATTAATTGTCTTCATAGTGTATGCTTTTCATTCTCATATAATTTTACCATAGTTTAGTTCGTATTTATTAAAGAGGTATATCTATATTATATATTGCTTAGCTGTGCCCAAGCTGCACGAAATATTAATTCTGTCGAATTGTATATACTCAATTGTTTTTTCATATGGAGAGACATCCAAAATTGATCAGGATAATTTGCGACTCAATAGCTCATTAACATAAGACAATAGCGTATATTGCTTCAATATTTGTCTTGAATAAGTAAGAAGATATAAACTCCGGTACCGCGTTGTGACAAGTTAGCGCAAACGAGAAGCCTTTCGAAATTGTCCAATAACGCCCACGCAAGGAAGTAGCAAATATCTTCCCACAACTACAAGCCCTCTAAAATAAAAAATCTCTGTTTTTAATTACGATAGGTTGAAAGCTTTAAAATAGTTTCTAGTAGCTACATGATTTTTTTAACATGAGTAAGTGTAAAAGCATAAAATGAACAACAAACACAAAAATACTGATTCACAGCGTTTCTCTGACTATATTGACTTGAATCTGCTTATACAAGAAAAGGTTATTTATTCTGAAGAAATGAATGCAATTGGCAACTTTTTAAACAGCAATGATTCCGAATGACACGTAAGTTACTCGATCCTCAGTCATGGTGTATCTGATGATGATACACGAAATCAATGCTGCAAAGATGAATATTGAAACACAGACACTGATTCTTAAAATACTTGTCCACAACTGTTGTATCACATAGCCTAAATCGCCGTACTAAAATTGTTCGAGAGCTAGTACTAACTCGATTCGATACAGTTTTATAGGCTTTTATATCAAGTGCAATGTATTATTAAAGCGGCTATACGATATTTTCCACCCGATGTGCGAAATATAATGTTCTATATTTCTTGTTGAGTACATTCTGTACCTATTTTATTAATTTGTACAATACTGCAAATTTTCACCGGAAATTAGTTTGTTTTCGCGGTACTCTCGCTCATGATTGCTAGAAATCACACACTTTGATATTGAGGGTTTAATGATATTTGCAGTTTTGTTCAAAAAACGCCGCAATATTTGCAAAATGAAGCTTTGAAACTGCAAACAACTATTATGACATAAAGCAAACATAAAATAGCAATTAAATTAATAGCCTGCCACCTGTATATGCTGCTCCGAGTCCGCGCGCACTATTGCGTTAACGAGGAATGGCGTATACGCTGATTACACTAATTCGGCATCCTATATCCATAAATTAAATTATAATGCGCTGTGCCGCTGATTGCTTAACGTTAATTTGAGTCTGGAACTTTGTGTCTTGAACAACCGATCAGAGCCCAAAGTTTGTATTTATGGCTACTTTAGTATTTATGTTATTAATTTATATCTACTTATGAATTTATGAGATGGAAAGAAAATTTAATGTTTTTCCACGGAAATATACCCGCCAAGCTTCAGCGCGAAAAAAATCCCGCGAATGTGAAGCACCTGGATACGATGCATCTTCCACGCGGGCAACGTTTTGGCAAAAAGATCATGCAGCCAATTTATGTTTCTGACCCAAAGCTTTAAAAATAATAATGATTCCTTTAGTGAGGAGACATTTGGTGATCCCTCTTAGAGTAACCCGAACACATGTACTTGTACTTGGTAATATGTTCGAAATTTTCGATTTCCAAATATAAGCACATAAAGTAAAAAAAAATTGTCTCCACAAAATGCCGATTTATAATGGCATTTTGGTTGGTCCCAGACTCCTGAGGCAAGGAATTTCGCGGGGATGCAAGAGGGCCCTGAAGGGGTAAAATGGGAACTGGGATTGATCTATTTTTAGACTGGGAAAATGGGATTTGGGTTGCTGGGACTGGGATTTGGCCACTGGGAATGGGAAATGAAGTCCTCAAAAATGGGAATGGGATTGAAGTAATGCGAGTCAATTCCCAATTTTTCTACGTTTTAAGTATTTTAAAATACAATTTTGATCCGTTTTTGGTGTCTTTGGTCATGATTTTTGTTGTTAACTATATTTTTCACAGCAGTACCTGAGAACAGGCATACTCTGGCGCCAGAAATTCTGGGTTTTCTGATTATGCGTGTCTCAGAATGCTGCAAATGCCATTTCCGGGATTCAAATTTAAAAATTTTCCATGCCTTCGGCACGAACCTCTCCCAATATTTCATAAAGTGTTCGCCACTTGCACACACGGTGGCTTAAAAGTCTTAACACTGTTTATTGTACCGATAAATAAAGTTTTTTTATTGACTGGGATTTCAATAACTCGGACTGGGATTTCTAATAAAAATCCAACTGGGACTGGGATTTTGCCAAAATTTCAGGTGGGAAATGGGATTGGGACCCCCCTTCAGGACCCTCATGCAAGGGACTGAAAGGAGGGCGAACTGTTTTTTCAACTGCAAATTTTGCAAAAAATGTTTAATATATCAAGACTTAAAGTGGAAAAAGAGTTTTGTAAAGAAGAAAAAACCATTCCAGTGGGCTTTCCTACGAAAAGCAATAGTCAATCTGCACAGAATATAATAATACAGATATCGTCGATTAAAAACACATTTTCAACGTTGTTGTGCAAGCCAAGCCAAAACAAAACAAAACAAAACAAGGAAGATCAAGACAAACTCAAACTCAATATAAATGGAGCTCAATAATCTTTTTAAACTTACACAATTGTTTCTACGTTGCTTGAGCTTGAGGCAACGCTTTTCATATTTTTCTACGTTGCTTGAGGCAACGCTTTTGAAACCACAGTTTTCGACGATTATTTAGGCGATTTACACATTATCGAGAGCTAGTAAATATTTTTGTTTCAATGATAACACTTTCGTTTAGATTGAAGAAAAACGAAACCCGACGAAGAAAGACCTATTATTTTGTAATTTTATAAGATATTAGCAAAACAGTGACAGTAGTCACGTTCAGAGCATGCAAAAATGTTTTAGGAGTAAATTATTAATTAATATATTTACGCGAAACTACGTTGTTTTTTTATTTTTGTGATGTTACTCTGAGTGTATCCACACCGTGCAAGCTTGAAAAATATACCCGGCCACGGTGGAAATCGAACCTACGACCCTTGGAATACTAGCCCAATGCTCTGCCAACTGAGCTACACGGTCAGGTCGGTTCGAGTATATGTCATATTTCGGAACTGAGTCTAGTTCCTTCGATATCAATGCAATGTAATCATGAATTTTTCTGTGTTGGTGTTATGTAGGCTACTCAGGTGAATATGATTTTTGTGATGTTTTTATTATATTTTTCAAGCTTGCACGGTGTGGATATACACTCAGAGTGACATCACAAAAATCATATTCGCCTGAGTACATAACACCAACACAGAAAAATTCATGATTATTAGATTGCATTGATATCGAAGGAACTAGACTCGATCAGTTCCGAAATATCACATATTCGAACCGATCGCCTGACCGCGTAGCTCAGTTGGCAGAGCATTGGGCTAGATTCCAAGGGCCGTAGGTTCGATTCCCACCGTGGCCAGGCATATTTTTCAAGCCTGCCCGGTGTGGATATACACTCAGAGTAACATCACATAAATCATATTCACCTGAAGCTGAGTACATAACACCAACACAGAAAAATACTTTGTTTTTACAAGGCTGCACGATTTTCACCGTTTTTATAACTGCACATAGGCGTACCGGGCGGGGGGGGGGGGCGGGGGGGCGGTAGCCCTCCCAGTTTTTTGGGCAGTCGGGCAATATTCGATCAACAGTCGGGCAATTTTGGTTTGCAATAAAAAAAAATGGGGAAAATTCTGTCAATTTTGTGTAAAATTAAGTCAATTTTTTGGCAAATTTTGTGATTTTTCGAAAATTTGTGTTATGTTCCGAAAAATATTGAGTGGAGACATGATTCGTGATCACTGTAGCCTGCGTGCAGGCCCAAGGGAACTGAATCAACTGATAGTGGGCCTGCAACCATCACCCCATGTTTTCGATTTTCGCCGGCCGAACCACAGGAGGCCCAGGCTCGATTTGCCCGCGCCCGCCTGTGCCTTCCTTATAACGAGGGAAGGAAGGAAACATTGAGACCAAAATAGCCCAGACTGGCATATGTCACACGAAACTATCCTCGATTTTTCGCCTTTAATGCATTTCTTTCACAATTAATCGATATCCCCTGCAAGAATGATACCGTATAACTCTCAAAACAACGATGCTTTAATCAAAGAGCTTAAGTCGTTGAACAACTCAAAATACACTCAACCCTGATTGGACAACGAAAATCAACAAACATTTCAAATTTCTGTAGTCAGTAATGTAATATAAATTTGAATCAAAACAATTAACAAATGTTGTCGGGGGAAAACCAGGCAAATCTAAATATTTAAATTTAAGAAGTTTAGTCAGTATAATAACGTTTGTGAATTGTTTTGATTCAAATAATCAAATTATTACAGTACTGTTCCAAGTAGTGTCCCCCTTCCCAGTGCCAGTGGAGAAAAATTTGAAATGTTTGATTTTCGTTGTCCAATCAGGGTTGAGTGTATTTTGAGTTGTTCAACGACTTCCGCTTTTTGTCCAGCAAACCCGGCACGCGGATATATTTTGGGCGAATTTTGTTATTCCCTCACGGATTTCAGAGCGAATTAAAGCCCTTTGGTTAAAGCATCGTTGTTTTGAGAGTTATATGGTATCATTCTTGCAGGGGATATCGATTAATCGTGAAAGAAATGCATTAAAGGCAAAAAATCGAGGATAGTTTCGTGTGACATATGCCAGTCTGGGCTATTTTGGTCTCAATGTTTCCTTCCTTCCCTCGTTATAAGGAAGGCACAGGCGGGCGCGGCCAAATCGAGCCTGGGCCTCCTGTGCTCCACCTGGCCCGCTCTGGTCATAGTACACGGATCGTACCAGGCTATCAGTATCGGAAGACGAATATGATATCTCATCGTACATATCAGCAAAACGGAATAACCGGAACAAAAGTTCATACTTCATATTAAATTTTTGCCAAAGCATTCTTACTTTTTTAAATTTGCTCATTTCCTCTGCGAAGTTTTTTCGCACCAAGACCGGTCTCTGAAATAGGGAGATGTCGTTTCTATTTTAAAAAAGAAATACTATTTGAAAAAAAAAGACACAATGCATGTTTGATTATAGTTATCAGTAATTCAGATGTCACTATTTTACTTACAAAAACAGCCGTTAAAAAACTGAGTTTGCATAAAACTACTTTTCAAAACCTTGGATAGTTGTATAACTGTCTCTTTATTATAAAATAGCTGCATTTTAACATTTCAATGTGTCAGTAAATCAGAACCACAGGTTTAGATAAGTTAATAATTTTGAAATTATAATTTGTAATTTCATAAAACGATTATTTGCTAAGTCTGTGGTTGATTTTTTATACTGACACGCTGAAAAGTTAAAAACCTTTGAACATTCAAAATGAATAACGCTATTGCAGGAGTTATTAAAACATAAATATTTAGTTACTCAATGTTTTACTTATGTTTTACTTATGTCTTTTACTGTTAAACCTACCTCAAAACACCTTTTCAAAACGACAAAAATGATAAGTGATTTGAAAAATGAAAACTAGTTTTCGACTTTTAGGAACTGCGGCAAAGACTGCGGAGAGTACTTAAAAGTACACCACCAAGCCCGCTCAGGCTCATGGGGACATGGGATATAAATGGATAAAGCAGGATACATAGTATCAAGAAGACAATCAATATGGCGGTTTGAAAGGAGTGAAAAATTGTGAAAAGAATCGATTAGATTTAATAATCTATGAAATACGCTTTCTTCACCCTTTAAACAACGATGAGTAAACAAAAAGATGCAATACAACTGGAACGTTCATTTTTGCTGAGACTACCTGAGGTATATTAGCTTTTGAGAGTTTGTTTGACTGTTTTATAAGCGATTAAAGCGAACGAGTTGACATACTAAGATTTCTTTATTTTCAACATTTTCGTCTGAAATATAATACCTGGCATACGTAATGAAGATCGATCATCGGAAATGCCATTGATCAATTCATAACAACTGAAGAGAATTAGTCAATTAATCGGCATTGGGCAATTTCATCGATTGAGGCCACTATGGAGTCTACATGCAGTAGCTATTTGTTGCATATTAGTTTCTCCCATAATGGAATTGGTGTATGTTATGCCAAATATATTGGCATAAGCAGACATAGAAAAATTAAATTAGTAAACAAGTACATGTGCTACTGTCTGGCACCCTGACTGGAAAGTTTGGAAATTGTGCGCCCAATTTAATAGTAAAAATATAGAAAGCATGCTGTTAAAAATTTTTTTAAAAAATGCTGTTATAAAATATTTAATTATGTGTATCATGATTGATGATGATGATTTTGTTTTCATAATAAAACATACACTGTTTGTGATCCATATACGCTGGATGTTTTTACTGGATGTGATTTTTGCTAAACAAGTCATTCTCATTTTATATAATGTTACATACTTCAGTGAAATTGATAATCAATGAAAATCAATATCGATCAATAGTAATCTGTTGATATTATGCACCAATCAAAGTAAACCCCGACGGCCCTCACCCTGGGATATAGGTGGGGATTGGTTTTGAATACCGTACCAAAACAGACAAATGCCCCACAATATGGGACAAAATTTTCTAGCAAAAGGCAGAAAAGGCCCTACCCCCCGGGGGGAAATTGTAAGTTGTGTGAATGTATTTATCTCCTGCATAATATCTCCTCGACAATCTCCGGGCCGCCGCTTAAACCGTCCACATTTTAAAATATTAATATTTTGTTCCAAAACTCAAAAGAACGATAAAACATATTAATATAAACAAACAAATGTCGAGCTTTCCACAACAATAGATTCCATGGATGGATGGAGTCGGGACATATTAACCGGTATTAACAAATAGATTGAAAAGAAATTAAATTAATCATATATTTATAAAATTCCTCTCGATTTCATTTCCTTACGAGGACGCCATTTTGTCCTTTGTCACATGGTATAAAATGGTAGAACCTGGGGATTCCATTGGACAAAACGGTACAAAATAGTACAAAATGGCCGCAGACAATCCCCTAATAATCCCTATTATCTCCCGGCATGATTCGGCAGAATGACAAAACCAACAAATTCCTGACATGGTTGGGACAGAATTCGATGACAAAAAGCCACTAAATCCCCACCAAGTCCCCTCTTTGCCCGGGGTGGGGGGGGGGGTCGGGCTTTACTTTGACTGGTGCATTACAAGCAGTGCTTTAGTGAACATTTTAGATTTTGGTAGTGTTTCTAAATTTCAAGGGTGTGTGCCAATTGAAAGTAGTTTTGATTCTCATTTAATACTAAATCCAATAACTCTTATTCAAGCTTTCAAGTTGTGTGCGGTTTTGAGAATAAGTTGGTGCTCAAGCAATTGGCATATGTTTTTTTTTCACAGTGTGGGTAGTGCCTTGTGTATGACTTTGAGTCGCACTCTTACCACTTGGACATGGTCCAATAATTTGAATTAGGTTCCAGAGTTGTGCTTGCCAACAATATACTGTGTGTTTGTTGTATCCTTTACAACAGTGTTTTTGTTTTTTGTTGTGATGCACTATTTAGTGTTTAACTCTTTGTATACAATATTTCTATGTATTTTACAACCTGTTATTGGAGCTTCGGCTCTGTGTGTGCGCCCTTACTGTTTTTGGGTAAAATAAATAAATAAATAAACAGTGCACTGAATCGATGGCGCTCCTTACTGAATCCTTTTATAAACTACTTTTCTCACAAAAAACTCAAACTCACAAAAATACCAACTGAACAGTTTTACTTCCAGTCACATAAATTGTAATTAATATGTACTATCTAATCATACTGTTATGAACTGATTACAACACAAATAAATGAAATCAATAAAAATCAATAATAAGGCCACTATTTGTTGTATATTAATTTCCTGTAGTGGGGGGGGGGGGGGGGGGGAGGGGGGAGGCAGCCATTATCATTATGCCATTATGAAGAGTGACATCTTTGTGCATGCTCATAATTTTTATTGATACATCCACTAGAATATCAAAATGTAAAGTGATGTGTTGGAGGTTTGAAAAAGCATGAAAGGCAGAGAACGCAATGGGAAGAAATTGGTTTTGTGAAAGTTCTGTATTTACAAGAAAATAATGGCCATTGAAGTGGCTGTCTAAGGCATGCAGGCAATGGGTGGCAGAGAGACTTCATAGTGGCATATCGCTCTTACTATATCATTCTGAAGCCATATTTTCAAGCCATTTTTCAAGCCATTTTTCCAACCACTCGCAATACAACATGAATGGCGAGTGCTGTAAACAACTTGTGCACAATGAACTAATTCATGTTACAAAGTTTAAAATCACTCGTAGTTGCAATAGAAGAGTTCAAACTACTGGTGTTTGTAACTAATTATCATTTTCACTATTCGTTTGTATATCATGGGGTTCTTGTGTAACTATTATGTAGTATTACATACGAGGCTTTGTTGATTTATTTATTAACTTTACAACGTTCTATACACGAACAAAGATATTAAATTTAAGAATATACACATGTATATGAATGAAAGGAATAAGGTTGAAGGTATAGCTATCATGATTCAAATTCCAGGCCGAGGTCATCCTGATCAAAATATTACAGGTGAACTACGTCAAGCGTTACTCTTTTGAGTTTCTAAATTGATTGAAATCATTACCTTTGCAGTTTAAAAAAACTTCCTTGCAATACCCTTGAGGGAATTTGCAATGTTGCTAAAAGCCGATTAAATTTTGTTACAAGTTCCTAACTTCAGGTTCTGTTCTGCGCGTTACAATTGGCTAACAAGAATAATCCACCAATGACAATGTTCAGAACAGAAAGGAAGTCAGGAAATTAAAACAGGAAATTAGGAAAATTTTAAATGAACTTTTTTTGCATTGTAATACAGGGTGTCCCCAAAAAAGTGACGCTATAGAAATTATACAGGATTCCATGGCCTGGTAATTAAAAATTTTTAATTCAATTGTGTTTACGCACTATTGTGTTCAGCATAGTGCTCAGGCATTCAAATTATAACAATAGGATATTTCTATAGAGGGTACTTTTTGGACTGCAACAGCCGATAGGAACATAATTGCAAACTCCCTCCAGGGATTTGCAAAGAGTTTTTCAAATTTGCAAAGCTAATAAAGAAGATTCCACATCAGTCAGAATCCACGTAGTCCACGTAGTTTACCTGTAAGCTGGAAATGGAATGCAAAATGTATTTATAAAAACTATGAAGCAATGATCTAACTGTAGATAATTTTTATACTCGTGACACAATAACATGCATCGTCAAATAATGGCGCTAGAAAGTACGTCGTTTCGATTGCCCACCCTCCGATTTTCCACATTTCAGTGGTTATCCCAGTACACTCATACCGTGTAACATTCTAAAGTAACAAACCAATTACTTTTAAAAGACTGCACGCCCAAGGAGTGTTTCATTTCACCTCTACCCCTTCCTCGTGAAACTCTTGTACAAACAGTACGACTTTAGATCTATGTACCTTTAGAAATTAACTTATCTTTATATTCAAATAACGTTCTGCTGCTTAATGTGGAACTCTTTGAATCAATAGAGAAATTCAGATTTGGTTTCCGCTACCATCAATGGACTATTAACCAATCAGATGCGTTTGATATATTCGATTAACCAATCAGATGCGTTTGATATATTCGATTAACCAATCAGATGCGTTTGATATATTCGATTAACCAATCAGATGCGTACTAAGCCAGTGAGAGGTAGCGACATTGGTAGTTGGAAGTCAAATCTGAACCTCTCTAATGTACACTCTTCACCCACTCCACCGTTTCTTTGATCGTTTCAAGACGTACGATATGGCTACCCGTTACTGGGATAGCAACTGACGTTTATTTCTTTTTTGAAAGCCTCAAGCAGAGATGGTGAGAAAAACTCTTCATGCTGGATTCGTGAAAGATTACCTCAGCATTGAGTTTCAAGGTTAGAGGACATCACGTTATTATAAAGATTTTCATAGATCAAAAAAAAAAAATCAAATTGTATTAATAAATAGTACAGTCTGTATATACAATACTATCCGCTAATAGCAAAGCTAATCGGGGCGGATAGTAGAATGAGATTAAATAAGAAGTATAGATATGCTCGGTTATAATATAAAGCGGTGCAGTATACTGACAGCACAAAGCATCATTTTCACAAAGAAGAATTAATTCCCTATTAATTTCCCATTAATTTCGAAGGATGTACTATTTTCCATGCTTACTCATATATCTAATTAATGTGGGCACATCAGCATAATCGTCCTCAATCTCAAATATGGTTAAAAGACTTTTCTGAATTTTCAAATTGAAATTTTTTCGACCCAACTCTCGAACATCAGTGGGAATACTATTCCAAATTTTAACACCTGATTTTACAAAGGATGTGATAGTTGTAGTTAGTTTTGAGTATTCAACATAAAAATTATTGGATACACAATGTCTAGATTTATAAGTATGGACTTCTTTTGATTGGATAAAACAATCGGAGATTGAAGATGGACAAGAGCTATTTGAGACGTCATACATTAAATTGCAAATTGTTTTAATGTAAAGCATATTTAAAGGAAGTATATTGGAATGAATAAAAAGTGGGATAGCATGTTCCTTGTTTGTTTTAAAATTCCTTAGACGTATTGCTCGTTTTTGGAGAATAAGTATCTTATTCAAATATTTTTTTGCCGCTTGACCCCAAACAGCTATACCATATGTTATATAAGGTAAGATTAAACATCGATAAATGTTTTGTAAGGTAGACAGAGGTACAAAATATCTAAGCCTTGTAATTATGCCAATTGTTTTGCTTATTTTGGATGCAATGTTGTCAATGTGGTATTTCCATGTGAGATTACCATCCACTATAACACCTTATTATTAAATATTTTATAAATTCTTTACATTCAATATTAATCAAGTTATTGGAATGATTGTCAAACATTTTTAGTTCAACTTGATAGTCGAGCTTTTTTTGGTGGGAATGAAAGATAACATAGTTGGATTTCTTTAAGTTGAGGGTTAACTTATTTGTGTTTAGCCATTCACAAACTCCTATCAATTCTCTATTGATGATCGTTTCCAGAGATTTTAATTTTTTATCAGAGTATACCAAATTCGTATCATCAGCAAACAAGTAAAATTTAAA